CACAACACAGGGTCTACAGGCTTAAACCGTCACAGGTAGCATGTATCAGCACAGACAAGCACATTGCACCGACAAGCTGAAACGCATGACTCAAGTAACTGGAGCAGCAAGTGTTCATGAGCACAAGCCTTGCGTGCAACCCAGCTGCTCTTTGGCTTCCTCGGGCTCGAGGCCCAGCACATTGTCGCAATGACGATAGAACGCCCTCTCGGTCATTGGCACATCGCCTGCCTCGTCCTTCGCGCTGAGCCTGTGTCCTACGATCCGCCTGAACTGGGCGAAGTCTACGAGGGCTTTGCGTTTTAGCTCAGGTGGGTTGTCTCGGCTGAAGTCCAGGACGGCTTTCCCGGCCACATCGTCACTTTTCATGGCCTCGTCAAAGGCGGTCCGGTCTTCCTCAGAGAGATCCTTCCTTGTTCGGCGTTGGTACAGCATGTTGTCCCAACCCTTCTTATGGTCCCCCTCAGCGCAGAACCGGGAACCTGCATACTTCGGAAAAATACATCCAGGGCAGATGCACATGGTGACGGGTTGTCTCTTGCCACCACCACCAGCCTTGGCCTGGGCTTTGGCTTTCGGACCACGCCCCCTGCCTCTACCTCCTCTGCTCGCCTCAGCAGACTGCTTTGGGTCTGAATCGACCGCCATGGACAAGTTTTCCTCACCGAGGAAATCCGTATCCATCCCGAAATCAGCCATGGACATCTGTGGCGTCCTGGGACGCACTTGAAAGCAAAGCAGCAGATGAAGCCCACGAAATCCTACGAGTCAGGGTATCGAGTTGAGCCAACCACGACATCACACAGAAGCTAGACTGGCGCAGACACTTGCTTGTCCTAACTTAACACGCAGACAACGCGGCATGACAATGTCTGACAGAAGTCGGGGGATGCAAGCACGCACTTGTACCTTTTCCAGACCCACGAAAGCCCAAGCACCAAGGAACAGAAGCATCACCAGTTCCTGAGCTGCCCAAGACAAGCTCGCAGACATGAGCCGGTACCATGTCGGAGTCAGGTTGACTACTAGTTTTTCCCACCAAATACAACTACTAGGACTACTGAGTGACTACTGGAGGATCCAAGAGTCAGGAAAGTTGAGCACGCTCCACTTCCAGCCACGTTGCCTTGGCAGGTTGCGTCTGTTTCGAAACGACCCACTGAGTATGCGGTGCCCAGTCTTATCATGGGCTTTGGACAATGGATATGTGAGCAAGCTGACAAAGTGGCCAACAATCTCACAGGCTGCAGCTCCCGTGTGCTGCTGAGTGCCAGCACATGAGAAGCGCCAGCACGATCATCAGGAAGCAGGTCCTAGCAGTTCCGGGACGGTCCTATGACAACAAGCACAGCACCTGTCAACATTTCAATTGAAACGAACTGCGGGCCTGAGTAGGCCACAGACCCATCCATGATGCACCTCCCTCAAGTTCTTGAGATTTCTTGAGTGCAGCTTCAGCATGAACAGGTCAAAGAGACACATGGGACCGGAGCCAGAACCCTGCAAAGTGCACTCGGCAAGAAGAGCGTACTTGAACAACGTAACACAGGTGCTTTGGGCCAGTGAGCACAGAGCAAAGTACTGGACTGCTGAGCTAGGAATAAGCTCAAGTGGCTTCAGCAACAGCAACTTGTAATAACTCGCAATCCACGGACTTTTAAAGCCGATTCAAAGCCTTCATCACGCTGCATGCTCATCTTCAGAAACATCGGACAAACAGACGGGCGGCGCACATGGAGTGGGAGTTTCCCTGCGCACGGTGTTGGCAAAAACATATAGCTTCCAAGCCAATATCGCAGGAAGGCTTTGGGAATTACCGCTCAGACAATGCTGCACCCT